AAAAAATTAGATCATTTTTACTAGACTACAGTTAAGCCTAAAATTTTTGTTTTTATTTTTGTTCATTTTTAACTTTACACATTTTACATTACATTTCTAAATTAAGCACGGAGCCACTGTAATTATAACTGCTCAATTCTCTTTTATTGTACCGAATATGCATTTGCATTGCCACTCTCAATTTCGAAAGGATCAAAAGAGAATAAAGATGAACATAAAATTAAATCCAATTGGAAAATGTTGTTTACAGTTTTTTTCGCACAATGATCCACCTTTAAAATTATTATTTCTAATGACAATATAAAATATTTTAATTTTCTTTCACATATTTAATAGGGAATTAATTAAACATATTTTTAATAAAATAAATATGCAACTTACATTTATTCTTGTTGTTGCTGCTTTAGCTGGAGGACAAGAAATAGCATCCACGTGAGTTTACAGCCCCGACTCACTACTTTCTTCTTTAAAGTAGTTTCTTAGGCTGGCTGACCTCGTTTCTAATAATGCACTTTTTTGTATAAAATTTTTATCTAACTTTGCAATTTATTTTCTTTTGCTATTTATAACTCAAAAATTTTCATCATTTCTTTTTACCCTCTTTAAAATGAAAAGCCGCGCCAATTTTTCTTCACTTTTTTCCTTTGTTTTTTATTTTATTTTTTTATAACAACGATGTTGTGTTGCTTTTGTTTACATTTATTAATAATTTACAAAAGTGGAAATAGAACTGCAAGGAAATTCAAATGCCAAAACACATTCACTTGTTTATTTTTGTTTCAATTCCCATGATGGACCAAATTATCAACAATTGATTTTTTTTACTTCTGATAAACAATTTCCATCAAACATGCATTTTCATGCATTTAATCAAATGCTTGGAATGGGATTATTCTGTTTGAAACACGCACACACACACGAATTACAAACGTAAATTGTCATTGCATCGCATCCATCATTGCTGCACACTCGATGAACTTGTGCACGAAGAAGAAGGCGAGAACGACGAAGAAGAACAAGCATAGTTGTGTAGGGAACAATCGCAAAACGAAACCCAACCGACGACGTCCGTATGGCTGTTGTGCTTAGACAACATTTTTCAACGAACTGACATTTCGTTTCCATAGCAAAAGCCCAAACGGTGGTACGGTGTCGGTGTGGTGTTGTTGGGGTTTTGGCGCTCATGTGTGTGTGTGTGCATGGGTGAGCAGAGAATTGGCAAATAAAACAAAAGCGTTGTTTGGCAATAGGCGGCCTTGATGAAGGGGCCTATATTAATGCAAAATAGGAGCGTAAGTCGTACTTCACCTTGTTATTTAGCTTAAGATAATCTGTCAAAAACCCAGATGTTTATACCCGTAGCCTCATGGCTAATGAGGATATATACACTTTGATATCCCAAAAATGTGCCTCATCGAAATATTGGTTTTAGACCCCATGTTTCTTGGGACCAAATACGTTTCAGACAATTTGGAGTCTGGTCGGCTGGTGCCGAAGATAACTCTCGAAGGGAATACCCGATTTCATCCAGACTTTGCACATCAAATTTAGTTCAAGTTCGAAGTTGGGGAATATCGGTTCACTCCTTCTGGTACCTCCCCCACAAAATGGACAAAATGTTTAATATTTATAAATCCAATATCAGCGAATGGAATGTCCGATTTGGACCAAATTTATCAATACCAAGCCTAGATGAAGTCCGAAGGTGGGACCCATCGGTCCACTCCTTCCGGTACCTCCATCACAAAGGATCAATTTTATAAACTTGTAAATTTAATCAACATTAAATCCGAATCCGATCAACATTATATCCGTATAATAAAACCTGTAGACCTCTGCAAACCATAAGCTGAGGGTATATCGGCGACACCTGACACTGAGACTTTTTTTTACTAAGTTTCATTCCGTTTGTAACATCGAAATATTCGTCTGAGACCCCATAAAATTTTATGCATGTCCGTCTGTTGAAATGACGATGTACTACTCCTAGGATATTTGGTATTAAAAAGGGGTGTATCGGTCCACGTTTTGGTATTGTTACCATATAACGAATTATTGGGACGTTTTTGAGTTCTCATTGGGTAGCAAATCTCCCCACCAAAAACGATCGATATCAGCCCACGATCGATATCAGTCCTCTTTTTATGATAGCACCCATATAATGATATTCTCCATTATTTGGTGTTTTGGGGTGTTTAAGAAAATTTTGCAACCAAATAGGCTATAAATTAGCATTCTAAATTATTTTTGGATAGTAAATCTCCCTAAAAAAATATCGACGTTCCAACGATAGAGGTGTCTACAACGCCTGTCACCTCATCCCTTGTGTAAAAACTATAGAGTTTCTACAACAACCAAAAATCGATATCGGTCCACTTTTTAAGTTTTCACTCATCTAACGGTGCCTCTACATCGGTATTTTGGGGATTATGGGTACGTTTTTTAACCGAATAGGTTTTAATTTAATTCGAACTGGGTGTCAAATCTTTCGGCCAAAAATGTAACATGGCATAGCCTGCAATATATATATATATATAAGTGATGAACTATTACAGATATGTTAAATGCCTACCGAATGGTGGAGGGTATAAAAGGTTTGGCCCGGCCGAACTTAACAACCTTTTTATCTTATTTTTTAAATAATATGGATGATCTATCTAAGTTCGTCTGTCAATGAAACTGTGGAAGAATATCAATGATATTTGTATATCGTCCATTATTGCAGAAAAGGTTCCTTTTATATTGTCCCATATAAAGGTCGGATTTTTTTCGGCTTCGTTTTGTTTAAGGCTTCAATTTGGTATTCTGGGTTTTCGAAGTGTGATAAACATGTCGCCAGAAAATGTTCAATATAGGTCCAACGTTCCGCATATAAATGACCCATCCCATTTTCGATACTTTTAACGTTTTAGTCACATTTTTCCACCGATTTTGTATTTCAAAAAAGGTCAAAACATTTTTGCAGACATTTTTAAATATAGGATCATGTTTTTACTTTGGCCCATGTAAAGGTCCCGACAAATTTTGGATTGTTTGACTATTTTAGACACCGAAATGGCTGTAATTTTACATTCCGGATTAGTGGCGAATAAAAACCCGTTTTCCCAGAAATAGCCAACTTTCAAAGATCCTGCTATAGTCGTATAATACAAATTTGATTGAATATTACTCACATTTCCAGTTTAAATGTTAGCAGCACACGACTCGGGCTTTGCATTTCATATCACAACTCCCTGGTTGGGGTGTACCTTTTACTCATGTCCGTTCTCACTTGAAGGGTAATTTTGCTCATTATTTTACGGAGAGGATCTGGAAGGTCCTTATTGGCGATGGAAATATATTTCAGTTGTAGCCCAAAAAGAGCTTCATACCCACTTTCTCGATCCCCGCAAACACTAATCGAGATCACCGGATTCATACTTTTCTTGATTGGTGGTCATGTGTCGATTACGGACAAGTAATCTGTTGGAGTTGCGTCGGCCTCTGACATGAGCTCACATCGGGATTTTATTTATAGCCAATCTTCCTGTGAGGAACTCTCGGATTGGAAAAATCTTCAACGTAACCATTTATTTTTATTTCAATGATTAGAATTATATTTTAAATAGTCAAAAAGTCAATGAAAAAAATGAAATTTGACAAGTTCACAGCACTGCTTAAAATTCAAGACAAGGTAGAAAAATATGTACCTTCCAATTGTAAAACGCTTTGGACCCATAATCACGACACTTTCTCGTGTTCTATGACAGTATTATCGATATTATAGTCCTATTTGCAGCAGTAGCGAGGTTTGTAGTTGCCGAATACTGCTTTATGTGTTTCGAACTTCCTCACAAACTTCGTTCTGACGAGCTGGAGTTCCTAGATTGATATATTTCTGTTTTTCTGCATAGAATGCAGTGGTTCGTCGACCTCTGGGTTTTTTAGGAAGGATTTAGAAGACAAATTTAAGCTGTTTGGTATTTTTAAATTTGTTGCGTGCACCATACATCGATCCTAGTGGGGGACTCTCTCGTGCGTTCCGGGTCTATGGAACGATGTAGAGGTTACTTACATTCCCAAAGCGGGTAAAGCAAGTCACTCTGCACGAAAGGACTATAGACCCATTAGCCTATCATCCTTTCTCCTCAAGACTCTTGAAAGATTGATCGATCTGAAGATTAGGAGTAGTTAGACACCACATCTTAGCAATTCGCATTCGAATTGACAAAAAGTCTGGATGCAGAGATCGTTGAACTGGTGGCTATCTTTGTGGATAGTCAGGCGGCTCTTAAAGCCATCAAATCCTGTAATATCAAATCTGAGGACGTCCTCGAGTGTAGAGCAGTTTTGGAAAAACTTACTTACAGCTATCGGCTGTGTTGGGTATCAGGACACTGTGACATCATGGGTAATGAAAAAGCAGATGAATTAGCTAGACGAGGATCTCAATCTACAGATCTAGCAATCGATTGCTCAATCAAACCACCCATTTGCCGTCTTTTTCGGAACGTTGGGGCGTTCTTCGACGAATGAGCCAATGAACTCTGGCACAACGAACCAGTAAATGGGACCATGATGTTACTGATTACTGTAGACTCTGTGTTTACGTGGAGGAGCATCTCCTGTGTCGCAGGTCCCACCTCAAAAAGTAAAAGAGAAGAAAGCGTAAATAAATGTTTAGTTTAGGGGCATAAATTTCCCCCTCACATGTTCATCACAATACACAATATGTACGTTCGTTTTCCCGATTATTTCTTCTCACAAAACATCTTCTATGTTAAATATTCACTAAAACATTTTTGTATTTAACAATTCATAATATCAAAAGGATTATTTCTGATTTTTTTCACAATAATATACACACAAAAATAATTATCTTAAATTTCTATACTAAACGTTAAACAATTTGATAAATTTATTCCAAAAAGGGAACAATTTTTAATACATCCTAGTTTGAGTATTATATATATGGCAGCATGTAATCAGTCTATATTAAAAAACAAACAATTCTCAACAATTTAAATAAAATCATCATCTGAACTATCATCGATTAAGTGGATTTTCTTTTTCTTAGATTTTGATTTAACAGCATTTGTTGTTTGGCCACCATTCGCGGCAGCTAATTTGGCATTTTTCTTTGCCCTTCTACGTTCTTTTAAGATTTTCTCTGCTCTCTCCAGGGGACACATTGAAACTTCAGTAATATTGGCATTGTTATTAATAAAGCTATCGTCTTCATCGACCACAAATGAATCAGGTATATATTGAGAGCATACCTCTTCGGGTAGCAAAGCTTGGGAGTATATTTGTGAATGATCGTTGTATACACGGGGTGCTGGGATTTTAAAACCCCCTCTTCTTGCAGCAGGACTCCTGCGGAAAAAAATATTTTTTTATTTCAAATGGATATAATTACAAAAATTCGAATAACGTACTTTAGTGATTGCAAATACATGGCCTGCATGTGTGATGTGGATGCCTGATCGGGATCCTCGTCATCACTGGCAACTACTACTGAATCCATCATATAACAACCAATTGAGTGTTCGGCTTCATCTTCACTTTGATCCGAGCCACTTAAGACAGCCTCTTGTTCGATAAACGAATTGTATTTTCGTCGTTTTCTACGATGATGTATACTACTTTCGTCAGCCTGTAACATATGTATGTAAACGCCTTTGGGTCTAATTTGGAATATCAATGGTTCTATTTTACATTTATCGTTAATAGCTACTGTTTGGTTCAACATACAATACTATGGAGAATTTTTCACAACTCAAGTTTTAGAATAATGCAAACTTTCATTCGTGGGTGGATTCCCCAGACAAAACTGTTATACTGTTATACAATTTTCTTATTTTATTATTAAAATGTAAAGCTAAGGAATACAAAACAAATTTGTACTATTTTATAAAAGTTAATATAAAAAAATAATTTTAAATTTGATTCAAAATACCTTAAAAATTATTCCTGAATCTACAACATATATAAAAAATATATATTTATCAATAAGAATCTACTCTACTTATGGAAGGAAAAATATCTCTTGGAACTCACTGCTTGTGTGGCTGCAATTTGTTCAAAATCACTATCATCGTCTTCGTCGTCGTCATTATCGGCAGCAATGACGGTGACATCATTTTCACTGCTTTCACCACCCTCCGAATCACTATCGAATATTTTACGTTTAGGAGCTGTGGTTCGTTTCCTTACCACCAAAATGCTTTCATCTTGTGTGGCCGGTATGGGCTTAGAATTACTACTCGTTGAGGTATTATTCTCACATCTCGATATACCCAAGGTCGAAGAGGTATTTCTTAGAGAACTGGGCAATTTTGCTCGACCTTTGGCATTTTTCAAATACATATCGAATAGACTGGGAGATTTATCACTATTTTGTATGGCATTGGTGGATGTACGCGAGGAGGGTGATGTTAAATTGGCACTGGAATTTGTAGGGAATAGATTTTTCTTGGGTGAAGCAAATTTCGTCGAAGTGGGAGGATTTAAGGCTGAATGACTTCTCTGTAGATTTAGTTTTGCCGACAACTTGGAGGCCAAGGAAGTTTTTTGTATGGGTTTCGCATGCAATACAATTGGAGATTTACTTTGGTCATCACCACCACCAAATAAATCTGGTGACTGGCGGGCCCCGACACCCTTATTCAAATTCTCTTTGAGACTTTCACGTCTTGTTGGCAATTTACTGTGTGATGATTTCATTAGCTCTTCTTCTTCGGGGAATGGTTCCATAAATGCATCCATATCGAAATCCAGTTCCTTTTCTATGGAAATTTCTGGTGGTGTGGGTAAACTGGAAGAGATTTTTGTTGTCGTTGACTCATTGTTGTTGGTTTTAAATTCAATTATATCCGGCGTTGAATTCAAGGAGGGTGGAGTCATTTTAACACTGGAGTTATGTTTATTGGCACTGGGATCAATTGCAGTTTCCGCGGTTAAATTCAAATTATCCGGTGTTCTATTGGAATCGTTGAGAGCATCTGTACTTCCCTCCTTAGTTTTCTCTTGCTCTTTGGTTTGTGTAAATTGCATTTCTGCTTCCAAAGCAGCCAGGAACATTTCATCTTCCTCTCCATCATCCTCATCCATGGCAAAACTGGTTTCCTTGGCCTCTTTTACTGTGGATGAGAGTATATCATTTGTCGCCGTATCTTTTGTGGTTGCAACTTTCCCCTCTAAGGGATATTCTGTTTCCGGTATAACCAAAGAACCCGTGGTCATATCAGTATCTCTGGAAGTGGAACTTTCATCATGCAATATATTGTGAATATCCTCCTTCTCATCTTCTTCCTTTTTGCGTTCCAGTAGAAGTGTGTTTAATTCCTTTTCACACATCAGCAATGAATCTAAAAATTTCGTACTTGGCAGGAAATTATTTGGTGAATTTGCAGACTCCTTCTCCTTCTTTTGCTCCGTTATTTTCTCTTCTTTAGATTCCTCTAGATTATTTAATAAGTTCATAGCTCTTGTGGAAGTAGTTTCGAATTTAGATTCAAAGATCTTCTCTCCACCCGTTGCTTCAAGTTTATTTAATAAATTCCTGGCTTTGGTAGAAGTTGTAGGTCTCGATTCTGAGAACTTTTTCATTTGCCCTTGCAATGGTGTCGATTTAAAGGCCATATCCGGTTTATTAAACTCCAACCATTGACTGCAATATTTGGATTCAGTAAATGATATATCATTATTTTCCTCCTCGTCGTTGTCCTCTAAGTTCAGTGTACGATCTTCAGTTTCATTGTCCACAAATGTATTATAGACCATGGATTCCTGGACCTTGGATACTGCTGCCTTGGCCCTTTCCTCTTCGGCATCCTTATACCTTGCGGTTTGTTTGAATTTTTCTCGGACCCAATCGAATGTTTCACTACTCTTATGGGGCTCCCCCAAATCACCAAATATATCATCCATTTTCTTATTAAATTCTTTTTCATTTTCCCATTCTTCATCGGATGAAATATCATCTATTGTGGATTGCCGTTTATGTTTTTCCATTTCTGCTTCTTCCAAAAATTGTTCTACTTTCTCTTCACCACCACCAAAAAGTCTAACAATTATTCGATGAATTTCTCGTATAGACTTTTCCTCTTCAGATTCATTGTCAAAATCTTGGAGGGCATTTAAAATGTTCATTTGCTCCAGATTATTGCGTAGGAAATCCTGATGTACCATCAGCAACTTTTGTTTCATTTCATCTGACATTTCGTCCGATTTTAAATGATAGGATAAATCTTTGATGTTAGCCCTTTTCAAGACATCCGCTGTAGTGTGTGTCTTCTTTAGGAATTCATTTAATTTTGTAATCCTTCCATTTAGTAAAATTTCCTTGGCCGATAGTCCACCATCATCCTCATCCGCTATACTGGTATTCTGGGTTTGATTATTGAAATAACTTGTTATGGAACTTTGGCTATTATTATTCGTTAATTTCTGTCGCTTTTTAGGTGTAACATCTTCAATGTGTTCATCGGATGAATCACCGCACAAATCAACAGATTCAATTTCAATTTTAGGAACATCCGTTTTACACATCTTCGGTTTCAATTGTGTTGATTTTGGTGTTGCCATATCCTTAAACAAATGTTTAATACGATCAAAACTCCGTTCCATATTTTGCTGGGTGTGTATGCCCGGTTTGGCCTGCGTCATTTTTGTGTCTATTTCGAAATATTCCAAATCTTCGGCATCCATTTCTACAAGTGGTGGTTTTTTGTTGAAAAACTTTCGCAGATCTTGTACACCTTTTTCTTGGCCCAGTCCCTTTTTGTTTGCTTTTGATCCCACCGTCTTTTTGGATTTCCCTGCCGTAGATTTATTATCGTCGCCACCATCGTCATCCTCATCATCTTTGTAAGGCGTTACAAAGGTTTGTAAACATTTCGGCTTGATATCGGTGGGTACTAAACGTGGTGCCTGCTTATACAGAGAATGCTGAACTGCGGGAGATCTTAAAATTTTTTTATTCGTTTGGTCTTTATTGTGCAGGACATCTTTTAAAATCTGTTGCTCCCGACCCTCGGTAACCAACATTACAACATTGCCATTTTTCTTTCGCCCCGTTCGTCCAATACGCTGCACAAATCTTGTAGGATTCGAAGTGCTTATATCGAAACAAACAATGAGGTCGACTTCCCCGACATCAATGCCTTCTTCACCAATCGAAGTGGCTATAAGTACGTTACTTTGTCCCGAACGAAAATCATTCATTATTTGTATTTGTTCTTTTTGGGTGAGTGGTCTTAAATTACCAGTACCACCCTGACCTGAATGGAGAAAAATAAGAAATCAATTATTATTAATTTTTTTTTGAAACTTAAATGAAATTTTGGTATAAGTTTAATTTAGGATCTGATCGCAGATCATTAAAACTATATAATTTTTTATTGCGGAATCTCGGAGATATGAACTTCCAAAATTCCGCTGGGAAACTTGTTGTTGGTGTTGTAACAGTGTGTGTATGTGTGAGAGTTAGGATATATTTGATTATTTTATAATATATTAGAGTAACTTCTGGTAATGTGGACCATGCGTCAAATGTGGACCACCCCCCATATCTAAGAAAATGCTTGAAATAAGTCAATGCCGCCTTGGTAAATGTTTTCCTAATTAGTGAAAACAAACACCAAACTTGGTTTTTAATAAATAATTGCAATGTTGGAAATTTAGTATGAGAAAATGTTGCTCTGATTGTAAAAGTGTGATTTAAAAATTTTAAAGCACAATAGTCGAACGATTTTGTAAAATAGTCGAACATTTTGTTTTTCTCGAATATAAAGAGGTTATGTGGTTTTCTTGTTTTCTTTAACAAAAATACACGTTTATCTGTAATTACAATCGGTTATTTTTAAATTTTTATTCATTTTTGAAGCCGATAATTATTTTTAAATAAAAATATTCAATGTCGGGTAATGTGGACCACTATAAAAAAGTGGGACATTTTCATGAGGACGAGTTCGAAACAAAGACGCATTTAATATGCGAGGAGGTATTCTATCCTCTGAAAACTTTATATCCGAAATTATAGGTGCCTCGGTTGGATAATGAAGCAAGGACCTTCAAAATACCGCAAATGGGGGCGGTACCCTTAAATGGGGGCTATTCTAAAACATGGACCCATATATTTTTGCATTCATTGTTACCCAAGAGTCCAATAAATTGAAATTTATCACAATTAATCCACAACCTACCTTTAACTTACTGATCCTCATTACCCACACACACTGGTCCACATTACCCGCCAAGTTATTTTTATTTGCAGTTTAGAGTTTTTTGAAATATAATGCAATAACATTTTTATGGACAAATATATTTAATTTTTGACCTGGAGTATAATTAGCCAACAAATCTACCATGTTGTGAAAACAATTTGTTTTTATTTTTTACCTTTGTTACGCCCACAATATAAAAAAAAGAAAATGGTGGTCCACATTACCCGAAGTTACTCTATACAGGTAGCTGTAAGAATCGGGTGCGGAAATAATTCTTGGCAGATAATTATTTTAGATTGTTCTCCAACCAGATCGGAGTTGAGCTAGAGTAGTTCTAGAAGCAAAAAATATCACAATTCTGGATAATCTGGATAGGAATAACGTCCAAACGGGGTGGCGTAGCTCAGCACAGAGCGACTGATGGGTTTGTACGTCAAGACGACATCTCTTTATCCTTTCCCCAGGAGGTACCTGTCAGAGCTTTCAGGACCTTGCTGAGGACTTTCTCTTTGGCATATGCAGCGTGTTTTGTGAAAATCTGTGGGTCTGACTTGGTAAGGAAATATATGGTTTGTGTCATGAGGGACAGTTTGAACACTGATCGCTTGTGCCGGAAATAATTGTTGACAGATGATTATTTAAGATTGATCTACAATCAAACCTGAGTTGAGCTATAGTTGTTCTAGTAGCACAATCCGTCAACGGCTTGATTCGCCCCTCGAGTGCGTAATGGTTTCAGACCTGCTGCTATTCACAATTTGATGAGGTCGGATGGTATGACGTTTTGGATGTCTAGGCGGAAATGTTTGATGTCTTTCTGGATGTTCAGTGAACGAGGATCCTGCACCACCATGATTGGGGTGTGATTTGGCAGATGGCAGGCCAGAAGTATCTGTCTGGCAAGCAGCACATTAAGTTGCTGTACAGACAGCTTGTCTCCTCATCAATATGATCCACACTCGACATCATGACACATCCGGTAGCAATCCTTAGAGCACAATTCTGGATAGTCTAGATAGGAATGACGTCCAAACGGGGTTGGCGTCGTCTGCGTAGGAACTAGTATTCCCCCTACTTTTTTAAATTCTCTAAGGTAATCCGCGACCTTGTTTTAAACTAAACTTAATCGCAAGTTTTAATCGGCACTTACCCACAAAACATTTAGGTTTTAGTAAAGGAACATGTTGGAGCAGCATGCGGTAGATTAACAATACCGATTCACGATATTCACAGAAGACAATGGCACGGGAATCGTCATGAGACTGTAATGAAAAGAATAATCAAATTTGTAACTCAGTTTAAATACTCTCATCCTCCTCCATTTTGTATATTCACCTTAAAATGCTTAAGTAAACATTCACGGGCCTTTTCAAATTTCGGATGACCAAAATCTAAATCTTTGGGCATTTCAGCAATTTCACCATTTGTCATCGGGCCGGCTGAGACATTAAACGGATTTGGACCCATTTCTTCATTGAGACGATCAACCAGATTCCTTAGACGACGTTCCATTTGTATAACGAATTTCGTTTTACCTTCTATGTCTTCTTCGAAATTATTTAAGAATACTCTCAGGCCATGTCGTTCCAACAGCTCCAAGGAATGGTAAAGACTTATACATATGGAAAAATTAGTCGTAATGGCGGAATGTTGTGGATGACGTCCATTGTGTTGACAACGTTCCTGATAACGTTTTTGTTCGTAGAGAAGAAAATTGCGATTTATATTTGACAATGATCCCGAAAGCATTTGACAATCGATTAGCTGCCTCAAATATGGATCAATTATTTCCAACAACTCTTCTCGGATTTCCTTAATGCGTTCACCCAATGACACGACCACAGTTTCCATGGCACGTTTATGGACATAGGGTGCCACATCCACGGAATTCTCACAACGTACCTCTATGTGAGATATTAACAGATTACGACAAACCTCCGCCACATCATCCATGTTACGACCGGGGGTAGCTGATAAGGCCACAACACGAAAATATCTATTCCTCGCTGCAATCGACTGAACAACTTCAACATAGGAATATTTGCCTTTGGCTTTGTGGGCTTCATCGACCACAATCAATTTAATCGAATCAAATGGGAATTCAAATTTACAGGAACTCGTAGAATCTTCCAAAGTGGTTTCTCCTTCTTCCTCATCGCCTGCGACATAATTACCCAAAATATCAGACTGTACAACTTGGGGTGTGGCAAAGAACACTCTCTTTGTCTTCCACAGTTCGGCACGTTTAGCTTTTGGGAGTCTCCCAGTCAATTCCACGGTGTCTTTTCGTGGAAATGGCATAATCTTTTGACACGCCTCTATCTGTTGATTTACCAACGGCCTTGTGGGTGCCATAAATATCACCTTCCCTCGGGGATACCATCGATATAGATTGTACATGACCACAGCAGCAATAAACGTCTTACCCAAACCAGTGGGCAGCACCACCAATGTATTACGATACAGCGCCGCCTGTACAATGCTCTGTTGATAGGATCGGCATGGCAAATTATTGGGATAGATCCATGTCTCTCCGACATTCCTATCGAACCCCTTGTGCTGTTCAGCCTCACATAGCCTTGAATTGTCCACACCTTCCAGTGGATTATCCAGTTGGTTCATCAGCGTATGCAGTTCTTCATCATTGAAACTTAAATCTGTCCAAGGATCTTCATCAGCCGTATTGTGTTTCGTTGCCATTTTCGGAATTATTTATTTAATTAATTCGGCGCCATAACATAAACAAACAAGGGGAATAAAATAAAAACAACAACGAACAATGTCTTCAGTCCACCAACTAATAAACAATTAAACGATCGACGATTTAGCCGACCTAATCTAAAAACGTTTCGTATGCAAAGAATAGCTGATAAAGACCATATCGAAACAAAAATGAAATGTTTACGAATAAGTACGAAGTAAAACGTGGTGACACCCAGCATACATGTTTAGAAAAAAACTTGGAAGAATCTCAATCAGCTGATAGGTTCGATCGATACTATTTCTAGTACATGTTTGTACATTGGACACTTTTTACGTCATAAAAATAAAAGTAAAAAAGCATATTAAAAAATGTTGTTGTATTTTATTGAGTATTTTGTACTTAACAAAACAACCTAAATTTAAACAATTAACTCTTAAATTTCTAGGTAATAGTACGTTTAACCCGGTGGGTTTAAATTGTCAATTCCATTGTATATATGTCAAATAAATTCTCATAATGTAGTTCTAATGCAAAGGCCGTTTAAAAAAAATATGGAAAACAAAATAACTCCTATGTACTCACTTTTGCGCGTCTACATATTACGAATAATTTGAAGAAATGGTATGCAAAAACACTTTTTGCTAATCTTTTTTATTAGTTTTTTTTTTAAGATAATCAAGGAGTATTTAATAAGGTGTAAGTGACAATCATATGGTTTTTTCTTTATTGTTTGTAAAGGAAATAGTCAAAAACATTTTCAATATTACATTTCGATTTCAAAAATGGTCTTTAAATTTAGGTTTTTTTTTTAATAAAATTCAAGAAAACTACATTCAGGGGGACGGAAAGGAAACTTGGACTCAGTTGTTACCCCGTTCGCCCATTGGTCCACAAATTTTATGTTACGTGTGGAAATCTGTCCAGAAATCCCAGCTACTCATAAAATCGAGGAGATTATGTTAGCATATATTGGAATCGGCCCCTTGGTGCTTGTCACAATTCTCGGCGGAGGTTAAATACGCCTATGGAAAGATTTTATACGGTCAATACAATTTCCATGATTTAGTCTTTGGGCGGAGATTTATGTCCTTTAATTTTTTTTTAAGATTTTATGAGTAGCTGGGATTTCTGGACAGATTTCCACACATAACATAAAATATGTGGACCAATCGGCGAACGGGGTTATAACTGAGCCTAAGTTTCCTTTCCGCCCCCCTCTATGAATGTAGTTTTCTTGAATTTTTATTATTAAAAAAGCCTAAATTTAAAGACCATTTTTGAAATCGAAATGTAATATTGAAAATGTTTTTGACAATTTACTTTACAAACAATAAAGAAAAAAGTTTGAAACCATATGATTGTCACTTACACCTTATTGAATACACCTTGGTCAGCATGACAATTTAATTTCTATAACAACAATGTTGTTTTTGTAAAATATTTGTTGTTGTATCTGATGCATACACCTTGAAGATAATATAAGTTTTACGTTAATTAAGGACCGTTTACTAAAAGCATTGTGAAAAAAATTTGAACAAAAATCAAATATTTAACTAAAAAAAAAATCATGAAAAAACGTTTAATAACCACTGAAGAGGCCACGTAGGACTTGAATGAAAGAAGCTGTTCTACCCTGGAAATGGCAAATTGTCCCAATTAGTGGTTATATGGGTATAAAAACGATGTTCCCTTGTTCCCAAACCCCAAATTTACACCGCTTCTAAGTTGTGTGGACCGACGGGAAAGTGAATTGATAAGTTTTAATACCAAAATATGCTTCATTAGTACCGTCAAACCTGTTAATCGGTGAACGGCGTGAAGAGCCCTTCCCGACATTGGCTATAGCAACTAATTCAAATGCCTAATGTGAAGCACGGTTGAAGAATTACGATGGTATGGGTGGGCTTTAACTTCTGGATCTTGAAATTAACAATATAATAATGAATGAAGTTTATTGAATCATTGTAGAGTCCTACCAACCGGTCTTGGTAGATAAGAACGCCTATTCTGTAGGAGAAGTAATTATGAGCAGGACGGTGATCAAAGTAATAAAAATATTAGTTTTTTGCAAATTTTGTCAAACGTGCAAAAGTGAGTACATTGGGGTTGATTTAATTTTCTTTCTTTATTTTTTTTTCATAGAAATCTAAGAGTTAAAGTCCATTTACATATACGATTTTAAATCGACTCGATTAACGAAATCCTGAAATACACCCTAATTGTTTACACATACCATTAATCATGACCTAAATGCCGATCAGCTGATGTTTGTATACATACAAAATTATGAATTTGCGCCAAAAATATTTTTCTTTGCAATTTGTAAATGAAAAGAAAAATTACAACGATAGAATTTTTTTCAAAGCTGTTATCGTTTGGAACGTAAAAAACCCACATAAAAACACTCAAAATTGAAAAATCATTTTTATTTTCCTTCGATCATTAATTTTTTATTTGGCAACCGTTAACTTAAAAAAAAATGTAGAAACAGTTGCAAATTTTGGTACATTGTTAGAGAGTTGTATTTTTTCGTACAAAACCCGCGTTGCATCTCATTAGTATCATGATTTAAAATAAAACTTGCTGCATGATGATTTAAACTTGTATAATAAATCATGGTAAATTGAGCCTGATTAAGAAAATAAACCCTGATACAGCCTTTAATCATGATTAGATGTTATATGTAAATCCGCCTTTAGGAAGATATGTAATCATTTTTCCCAACAAATTTTTTTCAGTGATGTTGCATTGCATCTGGAGATTTTTTCAATTAAATATCTTCATTTTCATTTGATTTTCTTTGGTTTCGTTTTATTTTCAAATAACTAATAATAATAAAAATATAATACGGAAACATAAACCACATACACAAATACATATGTTGGTACATAGGGATGTTTTATAAAAATGCATAATAATTTATAAATTTTTATCTTTAGGAAATGAGCAAATCAGTTCCATAATAAAATCCTTAAGACTAATTTTTCATTTTATTTTACTACAACTATCATTTTTTACTGGACGAACAACAACAGCAACAATTAAACTAAATAACTTCGTGTTGTTGGAACACTATAATCACTGGAAATCGGTTTAAATGTTGTATTATAACGATTCTTATACAGATCACGTGGTTGTATATAGACCTCTTTGAAATCTTCCGATATATCACTGGGTACACCGTGAATAATAGCACCTCGTGGCTCCTCGGCAATTCGCAATTCCACTTCCGGTTCGTAGACATTCTCCACCAGAGATTGGCGACGTTTTATTCTCGGACGTAGTTCCATAAAACTTTCAACTTTCACCTTCTTCGTTGAGACTCTGGTACAGGCCAGGGTGATGCTCAGTAGCACACAAAATTCCACTACAGCTATGATAAGACTTGCCGCCAAGAAGATGACATACTGTTGACGATACCAATTATCCAAATAGCTGAGACAGGGCGATGTGAAACGATATTGTGTATATTCCCGCTTTTCAATGGATTGACATAAGGTTTCATTTGCAGGTTTGGGATCTAAATGACTTTTCTTATCGGATGGGTTATCTAGAATGCAACATGTGAGAGGTACAACCCAATCGCGTTGACCGTATGATTGCAGCTTCCACAGGGATACATCATAATCGCTATCACTATTCATGCCACAACAACCGAATTTCGCCTGAGCCAAATCCATGGCAATAGTGAATTGTTCGCGACCAGGAACACCGTAGTTGGCTTGCAAAGCTTTGCTCATTTTCGCTTCATCTAAATTGATGCCCAAGCAATGAGGCCAAAGGGTTATGGCTAAGCAAACAACAGATTCGGCTAATAGCAATACAACAACGGTTAGGAAATAGAAACTTAGACAGCAATAGGTATTTAGACAGGATGCCCAGAAGCCCATCATTGCTGCCAATACAGCAATCAGTCCAGCCATAGCCAAACCGATTGATATATAATAGAATAGTGGTTCTGGTAAATCATTCAAACGTTCACTGGTTGCTGCTAGCAGGCGTGAAAGGAGTATCCGCTTTGTGTCGGTAAATAAATAAAATCCAGAAACAACCAGTATTGTACCACATATCTGAAATGAGAAATGGGGATTTTAACGGGTATTATTAGTTATAGCATTCGGTAATCTTAGATATAAAAATATTTTATTAATAATTATGATATTAAATATTCTTTGGAGTTAAGACGAGAAATAAAGTGGTTATCATTACAACCAAGATTTTTAAATTTTATAGCATACTTTAAGGCGTTACCATGAAAATAATGGTATATAGACATTATTTGTCTTATTTAAAATCAATATTATTCTGATGAAGAATGTATACCTTATTGTGGAAGATATACAAATATACCTAGGACATTTAAAAATTGGCTATAGCTTTTGCCAGACCGCTTCTTACCCTCAAAGAATTAAATGACATCCATTCGTATAACATGAGACTATAAACTACGAAAGACTGCAGTTAACGTTATAGGGGCTATACAAAAAGTGCAAGTATAGTGAATTATGCAACGTCATTGTGACCTATGACCTTAAGAATACCGAAAAACAGTGAAAATGTAAACATATATAGTCTTTACCAAGGGGGTTTACCTAATCTTATTTTCCGGGATCTATTCGGTAGGAAGGAAAAGACCCACGAAAAACACATCGACACATACCACCTATTTGTCGACTATAAAGCCGCATTCGACAGCCCTATCCGTTCAGAGGTGTTTAAAGCCATGTCTGCATTCGGCATTCCTGCAAAATTAATACGGCTATGCAGGATAACTTTAAGTGGCACAAGGTCAGCAGTTAAAGTAGGAAAGGACCTATCGGAGCCCTTCAATACCGAACGAGGGTTCAGACAAGGTGACAGTTTGTCGTGTGATCTTCTTAACATCCTACTGGAAAAGGTCATACGAGACGCAAAGGTGAACAGAAATGGCACTCTGTACACCAAACAACACATGTTACTCGCCTACGCCGATGACATTGATATAATGGGTCGAACATTGCGAGCGGTAACAGCCACCTTTGAACAAATTGAAAAGGAGTCTGCCAAAGTGGGTCTGGCAGTAAACGGCGAGAAGACCAAGCTGATGGTATCAACGCGCAAGACGTCCAGTAAACTCGGACCAACTGTGGAACTTGAGAACTACAGCTTCGAGGTAGTTAAATACTTTATATACCTTGGTACCGCCATAAATAAAACAAATGACATCAGTTTTGAAATTCGGAGAAGGATTGTGATGGCCAACAGATGCTACTATGGTCTAAGTAAGCAGTTTAGAAACAAGGCCACCTCCCGCCAGACCAAACTCACACTTTACAAGACGCTGATACTACCCGTGCTATTATATGGATCAGAAGCATGGGTACTTGCGCAAGCAGATGAGGCAGCTCTTGGGGTGTTTGAGAGAAAAATTCTCCGAAAGATATACGGGCCGATCTACGTCGACGGTGAATATCGGCGTCCAATGAACCATGAGCTTTACAATTTATACGCGGACATCGACATAGTCAGTCGTATTGAGCTGCAAATGAAATGAATCGGCATCTTCCATTTTAAAACTCAGTTTTTTTTACCTTCACCATAAGGTGGAGTGTATTTTTAAATTTGATTACTGATTGAAATTTTCAAAATATCTAATAGTCGAATGCCCTTGAATGTGCAATAGAGGAACACACAACTACCCCTAAATACTCGGGGTCACATTCTACAGCGTGCTCAAATCGCCCGCGCAAACCACAGCTATCTGCTGTGTCGGTTGCTGGCAGCACTTGGAACACTTGTTGGCGGTACATTTACATGGGGGCTACACCAAAACGTGGACCGATATATCCCATTTGAAATACCAAATATCCAACAATTATTATTATTATTATTAGCAATGTTTGTGCAAAATTTTAGAGCTCTATCTTAAATATTGCGATATATCGTGATTGAGGTGTTGCAAACGGAATAACTTATTCAATTTATAAAGCTTTGATATTTCCACTCTACACTCCATCATTGAACTTTTGGTTATGGTTTTAAGCATATCCATTCCCTTTAGTACGAATTTCTAAAAATCCAGTCTTATCACACGCTCAAGGACCAATACAGACCCACATGCAACATAGACATGTATAGCCATTTTGAGAAGTAATCTCGCCACTTGGCGGTTCCTTCATAAATCGAATATAGATATACACAAAAGGTTTTGAAATTTGGTTTTGAATGGTTTTTTTTAATAAATTTCATTACTAACCCCCATTTCTTAACACAACCTTGATCAACAATCAATTTCATAAGAGCTCCGCATTAAAGTATACAAGTTATAGTTAAAAGATCAATGTTTTTAAAAATTTCAATAATTTTCCACATAATTTGTTAACGAAAAAGCAAACTCAATCCTGATGCAATACAAATTAAATTTAGTTATGCTTCGATGATCGTTTTCATTTTTTTCGTTTATTTGTTTTGTTTTCTTCATTTATTATAAATTCCATTTTATGAATCAACCATCATCATCATCCTCAGCGTTAAGCCACAAATGCCAGACAGACAGGCCAGTCCGCCTGTAATTTAGAAGTATTTTTTTTTTTGGTTTTGTTGTTCGTTTTTGAATGATGGATAACACGATTTGTTGTTGTTGCTGTACTGGTTGTTATGTTTTATAATTTTTGTTGTTGTTATTGTTCATATAATATTCGTAAACTATTATAGGGGAGATGTATGAATATACTTATGTATGTTTAAGTGAGTCTATCTAAAATGAATAATCGTTTCACTTTCTATACACTGCGTATCATAACTATAGACGCACCCTTAATTCAATTGGTATGTTAGTTGACAAATAAAATGGACCCATTAAGTTATTGTTCACAATAAAACGATAAAAAACACATATTATTCAACAAAAATAATTAATTTATTCTTTATGGTTTGTCGATTATTTGCCCTTTAAAAAACTGGTGTTGCATAACTATAGCGTATCACACTTTTACAAAATTAGAAAAAAATCTCTTTTTAAAACGTGTGTAAAATAAAATTATTTTATAAATAATTTTTATTTTGAATAAGCAAAAATTTTAGCCATCACACTGTTGATCAAAATTAAAGTCTTATCATTGACCGCCATCATGATAACAAAATAAAATAATGTTTGGTTTTGATGTTTTCTGCAAAATCGACGAAAATTTTTGAAGGAACACAGTTTTTGTTTTTGGTCGGAAATTTTAATATTTTTGGATTTTAACCATACTTGAGTATGGCCATTTAAGGTATTGGTAATCGTCCTGCTAAAAGAGCGCCATGCCATTGTTGATGCTTTCCCAAAATGGTTTGTCTTCCAAGACTTGAACGTACTCCATTGAATTCATCCGACAACATGGAAATGTCAAATAAAGCATTCCGTGGCTATAAAATGTTCCTAAGGTGGCGTTTACCGAAATATCGTTATTTCTTAATACAATATTTCGGTGGCGGTTCCTTAATGGCCTTGGGAGCATTTTATAGCCATTATTTGACATTTCCATGTTGTCGGATGAATTGAATCGAGTACGTTCAAGTCTTGGAAGACAAATTATTGCCATTTTGGGAAAGCAGTAACAATCAAGGACTCGTCTTTTAGCAGGACAACGCACCAGTTCATAAAAGTGGCCATACTCAAGTATGGTTAAAATCCAAAAATATTAAAATTTCCGACCAGAATCCGATCGAGAACATGTGTGGAATCTTGACTCGTCGTGTCTATGCAGAAAACAGCCAATACCAAACATTATTTTATTTCCAAGAAATGATTATCGATGAATGGCGGTCAACGATGAAACTTGCGAATAATTTTGATCAACAGTGTGATGGCTAAAATTTTTGAACTTATTCAAAATAAGGGAGGCCCTACCCATTATTTATAAAAGTAATTTTATTTTATTTAAGTTTTAAAAAATAATTTTTTCTAATTTTGTAAAAGTGCGTCTATAGTTATGCAACACCAGCAATTTTTAAAGGGCAGAATTCGGCGAAACCATAAAGAATAAATTAATTATTTTTGTTGAATAATATCTGTTTTTGATCATTTTATTGTGAACCATAACTTAATGGGTCCATTTCATTTGTCAACTAACATACCAATTGAATTAAGGGTGCGTCTATAGTTATGATACGCAGTGTAGAAACACAAAACAAACTTACATACATACATACGTACATCCATAGAAAACGTAATCTATCTGCATGCCCACCCGTAAGTATAGCTTTCGTGAATCATTAACTCGTCATTATTATTTTCGGTGTCGATTATTTTTTAGTAAAACAACAAAGATTTAACGCTTCAAGCGTATCACACATGCAAATTTCCATTCTCTCTGTTTCAATATGCGTGTGTGTGAAAGAAATTTTCCAAAGAAATTTTTTTTTTGTGCAGAAAATCTTTCGCCACCTTTTTTTTCGTTTTCAGAAAAATAAATGTTAACATTACCTTACACAATGTAACAAAATTTGACAATGTATAGTTTTGATGTGTCTTAAATCGCGGAAATTTTTGAAGGAAAGAAGTTTTTGTTTTTGGCCCAAAGACCTCTGAAATATACGAAACATGTATTTTATACTCCCCCATAAGGTGGACATTTAAGGTATTTGTAATCGTTGGGGATCTTCATAAATAGAGCGCCATGCCATGGTGGATTTTTGGTACGAAGGTTTGACGCCCAATGAGATATGTGCCGCGAGTTCATCCATAAGAATTATAAAAATGTGGGTTGAGGCGTAGGGTTAGTTGCCCACACTCGGAAAGCCCCTCTTACTATGAAAAAGCAACGAAAAAGAAAACCAAACACCCCAATGTTGGCGACCCCCGCAAACGTATAAATGACCACGATCTGCGAATCTGCACTTTGAATAAACGAACGTTGAATTGCCTTACAGGATTTATGATTAACAGGATAATAATAGACCTTGTCTACAGATTCACTACAGTAGATGAGCGAATTGCTATAATCCGTATAAAAGCGAAGTTCTTCTACATCAGTGTCATTTGCGCCCACGCTACGACCGAATATGCTCCGATAAAGATGAACAGACCAAAGACATATTTTACGAGAAACTGCATATGACCGCTGCCCTGGCCATGACATTAAAATTCTACTAGGAGATTTTAATGCAAAAAATCGGAAGGAAAAATATGTTTGGCAAATATCAGTGTTTACGATGTCCGATCGAGTCGATTTCGGACCATTACCTTGTGGCAGCCAAGGTTCGTAAGCAGCAAATGTGCGATCTAATGTATCACGGAAACTCGACATCGAAAAGCAGTAAACACAACAGATATGAGAAGTCTACTCCGCTCAACTTACCCACCTGCTAATAGTATAGAAGCACAATGTCAAAGAATTGCCCACTCCCTACAAACTACAGCAAAAACAACACTTGTGCACCAAAAACCACCACCAAGAAACCTATGGTACGACCAGGAGTGTCGTATAGGGCAACACGAAAAAAAGACGAAAGAACAAGAAAACATGTGTGCGTGTGCAAATCGAGATGTACAGGAGTCAGAATGAAGTCCGAAAATTCTACCAACGGGTATAACACCAAACCGAAGGCTTTGGTGCAGGCACATCCTCCTGTAGAGATGAAGAAGAAAACCTGGTGACAGATACAGACAGCGTGCTGATAATCTGGAAGGAGCATTTTGAAAAACTTGTGGTATCAAATAGTAGCAGTGAAGAAGACGGTATAATAGATGACGGTATAGAGTGTATACCACCTAGCCAATATGAAGTCAGAATAGCAATCAATCGGCTGGAGAATAATAAAGCAGCAGTTGCCGATGGGTTACAAGCCGAACTATTCAAGACTGGTGGTCAGATGCTGGTAAGGAGCATGCACCAGCTGATTAGTAGGCTAGAGGAATGCATGCCCAATGATTGGAACTTCAGCACCCTGTGTCCCGTGCCAACTATAGAGGAATTAGCCTTCTTCCCATCGCATACAAAGTGCTATCCAGTGTGCTGTGTGAACAAATGAACTCAATGTTCAATGACATCATTGGACCATACCAATGCGGCTTCAGACCAGGCAAATCCACCATTGACCAGATTTTCACTCTGCGCCAAATCCTGGAAAAAACTCACAAAAAACACATCGACACATACCACCTATTCGTTGATTATAAAGCCGCATTCGACAGCCCTATCCGTTCAAAGGTGTTTCCTGCAAAATTCCCACAAAATTAATACGGCTATGCAGGAAAACTTTAACTGGCACAAGGTCAGCAGTTAAAGTCGGAAAGGACCTCTCGGAGCCCTTTAATACCGAACGAGGATATAGACAAGGTGGCAGTTTGTCTGTTACTTTTTTTAACATTCTGCTGGAAAAGGTCATATGAGATGCAACAGATGCTACTATGGTCTGAGTAAACAATTAAAGAACAAGGCCACCTCTCGCCAGAACAAACTCACACTATACATGGCGCTGAAGCATGGGTACTTGTGCAAGCAGATGAGACAGCTCTTGGAGTGTTTGAGAGAAAAATTATTTATAGGCCGATCTGCCCATAGCCGTCGAATGAACAATGAGATGTACCATATATTCTCAGTCATCAACATAGACGTATCGAGCTGCAGCGACTACGTTGGCTAGGTCATGTTGTGAGAATGAATGAGGATGCCCCAGCTCAAAAAGTATAAAAAGGCGATCCAGCTCACGGTTCACGCAGAAGGGGAATGATGAAAAGATCAAGTGGAAGACATCTCGGAACAATTAGATGAGCTGCGCACAAGACCGACGCGCCTGGAAATCTTGTTTAAGCTCGGCTTATGGAAGAAACGTTCTGTCACAAGCTAGCTAAGTAAGAAAGAACGAACTCCAATCGGATGTACCGGTTATTTTGGGTTTATTAATGGCTATTTCAGTGCAACCCTACCATAAAGACCATGCTCACTCAAAATTCTTCGAATTGTTCCTGGGTTACATTTCTTTTCTAGATATTTCTCTGAGATTTTAGAAATTGTGCCTCATTTTATTTATTTTTTATTTTTTGACAGCAGATCGGGTAATATTGATATTTCCCCTATTTTCGTGAGGTTGCAATTGCTTTTGATTAATAATAATAATTTTTTTATATAGAATTTATATTAATATTGGCAATTTTATTTCACTAATGATGTTCATATTCACATATAAAAAATAATAAAATTGTATTCATTAATTGATATGCACTTATGCCATTTTTATAATGAACCAGTAAGGAATGTTCAAAAGTCTATATGATACCCTTCACTACTTTGGGTACATACAAGAGATGCTCATATAACAAAATTCTTATTTGAACGTAGCTTTTAAAAACCATTGAAGTGGAACACATTATCTGCGCGAATATATATTTGAACTATGTTAAAAAACCCTATACACATACCAATACACTCCACTATCTAAATCAAAACCGATTTCAACAAAACTTGGCATATATCAATCTAGACCTAATTCTGTGCAAAATTTTGTTCCAATTGGAATAATATTAGGAGTTTGGTGCACCATTTACATAAAATCGGAAGAAAGTATATATGGGAGCTATATCTAAATCTGAACCGATTCCAACATAACTTCGCATACATTAATCTGGACCTAATTCAGTACTCTATGCTAAATTTTGTCTCAATCGGACCAATATTGGCAGTATGGTGTTCCATTTACATAAAATCGGACGAAGCTATATATTGGAGCCATATCTAAATCTGAACCGATTTCAACAAAACTTAATTCAGTACTCTGTGCAAAATTTTGTCTCAATCGGACAATATTGGGAGTTTGGTACACCATTTATATAAAATCGATCGAAGCTCCAATTCCTTATGCCAAATAAGTCATATGTGCCACATTTCATCCAAATCAGATCATTAATGCGACCTGTACTTTGTTCACAAAAATACATGGACGGACAGACAGACATGTATAAATCGACTGAGAAAGTGATTCTATACCAGGAACCATCTCGTTTCGTTTTGCCTATTACAAACATATGCACAAAAACATAATACCCTGTACCACAGTGTGGTGAAGGGTATAAAAACAAGTGGATACATTTGGCTGTGCCTAACTGTATTTAGGATTCTCAAATGACAGTCTTCGTGGACATACAACTTCTTCACATAACAAGGTCACTCATCATTTTCGGTAGGTTCAATTTTCCAACCCAAGTGTCTAAAGTTTGTCATTTTGTTTTGATCTGCAGGCAATTTACCATGGATTTTAGGTATTTTAAATATCTACCTCATGGTGAAGGGTATAAAATCGGTCTTTACTGGTTCTTTTTTTTAATTTTGGTCAATTTACTAAACAATGGTAATATAAATTCAAGTCACCCTGTTAGCAGAGGATATAACAAAAACGATTAACTTTCCACTTGGCCGAATTTTACGCCACTTACACTTGAAGCGCATGTGTATCGTATGTGTGTGTGTGGGGAAGAAGCCATAACCAAAGCTCCAACATGACATACTACAATTTCCAACAACAACAACAAAAGACAAAACATACATTTTGGGCACAATGTCAATGTTGTTGCTTAATTGCGTATTAGACCATATAAGGAAGATAAACCGTACGATTCGGTTCTATAATTGTTTTGAGCTTTGCCATAAATGACATTTCAATTACAACAACAACAAATACTACCAGAGAAAGAAAGAGTCAACATTCAATGAGTCAATGTTAATTAATTCTAAAATTATTATCACTTAAAGCAACTATTGGAAAAAGAAGGCCTGTGTGCGAACACAGGGAAATCGGTAACGGGCTATAAACCACAGACAAGAAATGACTACGAAGAAGAAGAACGAAAAAAATAAACGGTATTTATAAATCAAATTCAAAATATGTAGAATTTTGTGGTTTATCATCGGGTTGGATGGGTGGGTGGTGGAAGGTATAGAAAAACCTTGGGTGGATTTCACCCGCAATACAAAATACGTTTGCAGTAATTACTATTATATGAAAATAAAAGAAACTGAACTAAAAATTATAATTTAAATGGGTACTAAATAATGTCCATATATGTAAATAGATGTGTATGTAACAAAGCACATTTTTATACTTACTAAAAATAATAAATTACAACAATTGAGCAAAAGTTTATGATTGCAAAAGCGACCCATTGTGATGAGCGAGCGATGATGTGGAGCATAAATAAATGCAAACGATAATCCCAAACTGCAACGGAATTGGATTACAATGGACAGGTCCGATCCGACGTTTTTATTTAGTATTTGGCAAGAAAATTTGAAATCCAATGGATGGGCGGTTGGGTGGAATGGTATGGATTGCACACCCAAACAATAAATAAATTAAAAAAATGGATTTTTTTTTGTTGAATATATTTCTTTTCTTTTTGTTTTCCAAATGAAATCACATTTTTTGTAATCTACACAAATATGCCGGTAGGTAGTTCCCTTCAACTATATAGGTTTTGTAATAATTTGAAGTTCTTTTGAAATTCACACGCTTTCTGATAATAATAATAATTCGTTCCTTTTATTCATAGCGCATTCTCAAACATTTGAGAACGTTTCTTTTTATTTTTCTTCTTTTGTAATCAATGGCCAAACACAACAATGCCTTAATTTATCAGAACTCAGAACACTAAGTGCTTGACTATTTTCTTTTTATCACTAGTTTTTCACTGCATGCGTTATGTCTCCGTCCATTTTCCATTTCATATTTCGAATGAACCGATCCGTTACAATACGATCTGAACCGTAGCTTAGCTTTATTACAACTAAATGAGCAGCAGCAACGTCCACATTTTGTGGCAACATGACGACGGTGGAGTTCAATGGTTATGACGTTGGAACGTCGACGTTGTCGTTATGGTTGATCCATTGTGTGACCGAGAGACCACATCGCACAGTGTACACAAGAGAGCTCTCACCTTTTTCTCTAGAGTGGGGCTATTATGAGATACTTAAAACTAAATATCTTAACACTATTGTTATGCTTACATTATTTGCGCTCTTTTACATTAAATAGATTCTCTGTGTAGTTTACAGCATTACATCCAGGCATGGGAAGTTTGAAATATTGTTTTTGTGGAAAATTGAAGGTAAGAAGATTTGACTCCTAATAAGTATTATGCACACCTAAATTGAGATTTAGTTTGGAGAGTGTCACTGAGAATTCATCACCAAAAATCACCCAGGGAAAAAGAGAGCAAATGAGAGTACGTTTTTAACCATTTACGCTAATGTGTGATTTTGGGAAGTTTTGAGCATCAATGCTCCCAATAATAACCTAAATCAGTGTTGGGCAAAATTCAATTGAGAGTAAGTTTCTGCGAGCGTAACTGAGAATTCACAATTAAAAACGACTGACGTAAAGAGAAAGAAATAGAAAATGTGTTTACTCATCGACCCTCAGTTACGGTAGCGTATATTGGTAAGCATGCCTGACCTAAATAGAGGCAATTCGGTTAAAAAACGTGCAAATACCGTGATTTCAACAGACAGACAGGCAACATACATAAATAGTCATAGAATTTTATTCTGGCAAGGATATATATTTACTTTACAGGAGGTTTGAACAGATCTTTATTGAGAATAAGAGTGTGAGAACGTAAATGAGAGATCATCATCAAAAATGACTGACGAAAAGAGAACAAAAGAGAATACGTGTTTAACCATGGGGTCTACTGTAAACATTTTTTTTGTGTTGCAAATGAAATGATAAATTTAATATAACAACCTCAATCACTGTGTTTACCGGATTTGGCTCTGGCTGACCTGTTCTCTTCCAAAAAACTGAAGACACCGATGACACCGGCTATTCACTCTTCTTCTGGCGGAACAGAAAACTTCATAAAGCTCTGGCGTTTTAAATCGCTTCCACCTAGAGTAAGATCATCCCTTTCGTCGATACATACATGTTTTAATGGACGAGTTGAACCAAGGTTTTATTTTAGGTGATATCCTCATAGATATGACAGGAACAGTTTCAATATATAATGTAAGTATATTTTCTGTGAGAAATTCGACTTGTTGATCGACAGAAATGAGGCCATATAAACGATCCCAGTTTGCTTGGTGAAATTTAGACTCTATTTCGACGTTTCTTGGGTTTCCTTTAGAATATTAAATTTATAAGCTAGAAATATTAAATCATTTTTCAAATTATTGACAAAAAATAGATCGAGTAATGTGTTTACTGTAAAAGAAAAATGAGTGGGATTAACACTATTGGTTACTAATAAATCGAGAGATTATTAATGAGTGATTTATCAATAAGAATGTTCGAGTTAAAATCTCCGGTAATGATTATTTCGCCGTTTTTGGTGTGCTTAGAAAACCATCAAACAGAATGGTGTTGTTAGGTCTGTAAACACAACCAATTATCATTTTTTGTATTATTATCACCGATGCATGATTTAAAAACTGTTATTGCGTTTATATTCGATTTTACAAAGATAGCTACGCGACGTTCTCTTTCGGATCAGAAGACCAAGTATCCTTGCAGACATATTAGTTTGTCGGGGATAGACGTTTTAAGGCAAGTTTTATGAGATGCAAATAACGTCAATATCAGAATTTTCGAAAATAAATTTAAACTCTTCACTGACAAACATTAATACCTATACATTGGCTGGCCAGACTCTTGGCCAGATTTTTAGTAAAACAATTGGATCCTCTCTCTATACCATAAGTTTGTGCCATAAGGTGGTATTGTGGCATCAACAATGTAAGTAAGTTATTTTGAAAAAACAAGAAACCAGAGTGGTGTAAAGACGTAAGGTATTGTTTATTAAAATAGGAATAAGAGTTAAAAAGTTTGAAGTTGTAAATAAATAGTGTTTTTAAATATTTGTTTATAAATTGTTAAAAAATTAATTAAATCATAAATAATCCTCTTGGACATCGAAAGATTACGATATGTTATTAGGTATTTTGTACTTAACAAAACACCTTAAAATTAAATATTCAACTCTTCAAGATCAACTGCAATGTCCTCACTTTTGCACGTTGGAAAACATTTGCAGAATACGAATATGTTTAGGACTTATACCGAAGTTTAATATTTTAAGGTGCCATTTATACAATTTGCACTACTGTCAACCAATTTAATTTGAACCAATTTGAACCACCGAGAACCAAAAAATATTTTTTTCTCGCGTTGTCCTACCCCATCGTTAGCTATTGAATAGTTCTACGACTTTAAAGGATTTAAACGGAAATTCGTTCACAAATTGAGAGCTTTTCCTTTTTCGTACTATTTTCTATAAAATTCATGCTAAGAACCATTGCAATAAAAGTTATGAATAAATAAAAATTGATTGATTATTAATTAATTCTTAAACGTTATAGAATTTGAACGACCATGATTAAAAAATTACATCATCATATTGTTTTACTATGCATACACTTATTTTCAAATTTCACTTTATTAACGTGTTAAAAAATGTCTAATAACCCTGAACATACTGTAAATTGGAGGATGACCTTAGTATAGGGGCCGCACTGAAACGAGGACCAATATTAATAATTTTTGGTAAACCCAAAATATCAAAGTACAGCCGATTCGGTTAAAAAAAATTGGTTAATTGGTCTCCATAAGGTACCGTTATATGGGGGATATGTCTACACGTCGACTGATATAGCTCTGGCACTTCTGTGCAAATTTTTGGACAGCTAGCTCATTTCCTGCAGACGATAGAGTGATTACAACAGACTGATAGACTTGTGCTTACGACTGAATTGAAGAACACCACATTGGCAATACAGTTCTAATGTATGACTTTTCGATATTTCCACCGCATTCAACTAAGCCGGAAGCTGAAATTTTGAAGCCGATATATCCTTGTTTTCGGACGGGCCAATTTGAAGCCCTAAACTTATTATAGGATCGTAGGATTTCATCACTTCGATTGATGTATATCTCAAGAACATTTTATTAAGGAGGCATATACACCGTTCTTGATGTATATGAGCATATGAGATTTAAAAGCTTTCAAAATATTCACCCTTTGTATGGGAGGACATTATACAGGTGTAGTTTAAATATTAGGGTGTCAAAGTTTGGTTCCAATCCGATGGTCTGTTCCCAATTAATCTTCAGCAAGATTTAGACCATTTTGTGGGGGAGGTACCTGTAGGAGTAAACCGATATTCCCCATTTAAGTGTGAAAGAAATATAACGATGTGCACAGCTTGGACCGAATCGGACATTCCATTCGCTTTATATTAGATTTATGAATATTCTTTGCATCAAAAATTATAGATGTACTCTCAAAAAGTCGAGTACTCAAATATATTTCGAAATTCAATTGCAGTTGCATTAAACAAATTAGTAATTTTGCAAAAATGTATGTAATTTTTTCTCCAATATCTGTATAAAAATTAAAAAATCAATCCTCATTTCGGGGGTCCCGGGACCCCAGGGCCCCCCTGGCTACGTTGGTGGTTGTGACTGATATATTTTTTGATAAAATATATTCAGAGTTTAGTTGAAATCGGAACAATCGATTTGTTGTAATAAATTAAAATATCAATCGATATTTTCTAGAAAATACGGCAAATATATTCCGGCCTTCTTCAATAAAGGCTACCGAAGTCGAATCGTTCCTTTAGGTTAATTCCCATTTTTTGAGTTTTTATTTCAAATATTTATTTATTTTGAGAATTATTTATGGTTTTCTACTAATTTTAGCAATTTATGGTGTATTCTGATCAAAAAATGTTTATCACAATAAATGTTTTAATTACGTTGCCACCACTGTATACTTTGTGGTGTCTCCGGTGAATATTTAGAGGTGTTGCAAAAGGAATGACAAATTTAATATACACTCCAACTTATGGGGGAGATTATAAAAATGGTAAATATATTGCGTAAAGTTCGTCTGGTGTTCTTCAAACTTTTTAACGGTAATCACAAAGGGATGTTCTACAAAATCTTCCATGAAATAATTCCGCTCAAAAAATGGCCGACGAAAATCGTAGACCACGCATTGCATTGTTGCATTCTTGAGGTGAACAATAATTCTAATAATAGATCACGCATTTTTATGTGCGGAAGTAATTGGGCGCCAAGTCACGTTTTGGTCTGTCAAGAAAAGCGCAGGACACCACAGTGATTAATGTGTCGCTCTCATTGTATCTACCATGAATATGTATACCTCACAAAAACCTCCGATTACAAAA